AAAAAAGACAGCTGTGGTGGAAGAACAGTTCTTGAGAGAGAATGTATCTTTATCTTTTAAAACTCTTCTAAAGTGTAGCAAATAATAAATGAGATTATTCTTTGCTGGACCACATCCAATCTCTCACCTCATTGAAAACAGTTTCTTACAGAAGAGAAACTTTCCTAGTAGAAGACTCTGTGAACAATTATCCTGGTGTCTTCAGCTGAAGAAGTAAGTTGAACAATAGAGAAGAACATCCTAGGGATCCTAGTGAAAATATATGCAAGGAACAATGTTGCACCCAGCATGAGAAAACCACAGGAAGGTAAAAGACAGGAGTAGATGCAATGCTGGAGGGGGAAGTTGCCTTGAATGTGTTTGTTGTATTTGTGTGCAACTCTCAAGTAGTATACACATTGTATATATCCATTCTTTCTACTTATGTTGAATTGGGGTAATGAATATCTCAGACTTATGGAGGAGATATTTCATTCTATGTCGATTTAGTAAATGCCATTCACTTGAGTTAACTGTATAAATTTGCTGTTATGTGTACCAGTTGGGGTTATAAACTATAGTATTAGTAATACAGATCAACAGAAAAGCTTGACCTTGATGTACTTGATCACCTTGGGGTAATAAAAAATGGGGAGTTAGGTGTAAAGAGCCCTGAGAAACATTATACAAACACACCCACACCCACACATGTTCATATAGTACATATAGCATAATATACATAGTATATTTATATATATATATATATTTAAAAAAGTTAGATGTCAGGCCTTTAGCATGATTTAGACATGAACGGTGATTCCATAAGCAAAGTAGAAGAGCAAGGAATAGTCTGCCTGTTAGATTTATGGGGAGGGGAAGAATTCATAACCAAAAAGAGATAGAGAGCATTGCAAAATGTTAAACAGATATTTTCGATTATATTAAATTTAAAAAGCTTTTGTACAAACAAAACCAATGCACCCAAGATTAGAAGTAAAGTAGAAAGCTGGGAAACAATCTTTACAGCAAGTGTCTCTTTTAAAGGCCTCATTTCTCAAATATATGGAGAACTGAGTCAAATTTACAAGAATAAAAGTCATTCCCCAGTTGATAAATGCTCAAAGGATATGAACAAGCAGTTTTCAGATGAATAAATTAAAACTACCAATACGCATAATGAAGAATACCCTAAATCACTTTTGATTAGAGAAATGCAAATTAAAACAAACTCTGTGGTACCACTTCACATCTATCAGATTGGCTAAGATGACAAAAAAGGAAAATGATAAATGTTAGAGAGGATTGGGAAAATTGGGATAGTCATGAACTGTTGGTAGAATTGTGAACTGATCCAATCATTTTGGAGAGCAATTTGGAACTATGCCCAAAGGACTGTAAAATTGTGCATACCCTTTTTTCCCAGCAATACCACTGCTAAGTCTATATTCCAAAGATATCATAAAAAAGGGAAAAGGACACACATGTACAAATAATTTATAACAGTCCTTTTCATGGTGGCAAAATATTGGAAACTGAGGGGATGCCCATCATTTGGGAAATGGCTGAACAATTTGTGGTATATGAATGCAATGGAATATTATTTTTTTTCCATAAGAAATGATGAACAGTCAGATTTCAGGAAAAAATGCAGAGACTTTTACTAACTAATGCAAAGTGAAATGAGCAGAACCAGGAAAACATATCCATAGTATCAGCAACATTGTATGATGCTCCAGACCAGACCAGAGAATGTTTTTTTTTTCACTAAATTTATTCTTTCTCTTAGCTTTTTTTCTTTTGATCTGTTTTTTTCTATTCTGTGACTATTATGAAAATACATATGATAACATATGTATAAATCATATCAGACTGCCTACCATTTTCAGAAGAAGGGAGGCAGAGGAGAAGAAGAATATTTGGAACTCAAAATCTTATCAAAATGAATGTTGAAAATTTTCTTGTCATGTAACTGGGAAAAAATAAAATACGATTTAAGAAAAAGGACACAGTAGTTAATGACTATAGTAATATATTATTTGTTATACCCAAAGGCCCCAGTTTCTGGGATAAGAACCCACTCTTTGAAAAAAAACTACTGGGAAAACTGTAAGAGATTATGGCAGTAACTAGGAATAGATCAAAATCTCACATCATATACCAAAATAAAGTCTAAATGGGTACATGATTTAGATATAAAGGCTGATAATATAAGCAAACTGGGAGAGCAAGGAATAGTTTACCTATCAGAACAGAAGAATTCATGACCAAACAGGAGATAGAGAATATTACATAAAGCAAAATGGATAACTTTGATTCCATTAAATTGAAAAGTTTTTGCACAAACAAAGCCAATGCAACTAAGTATAGAAGGAAGGTAGAAAACTGAGGAAAAAATTTTAAAACCAGTGTCTCTGATAAGGGCATCATTTCTAAAATATATAGAGAATTAAATCAAATTTATAAGAATACAAGTCATTCCCCAATTGATAAATGGTCAAAGGATATGAAAAGGCAGTTCTCAGATGAAGAAATCAAAGCCATCTATAGTCATATGAAAAAAATGCTTTAAATCACTATTGATTAGAGAAATGCAAATCACAATAACTCTGAGGTACCACATCACACCTATCAGATTGACCAACATGACAAAACAGGAAAATGATAAATGTTGGAGAAGATGTGGGAAAATTGGAACTCTAGTGCATTGTTGGTGGAGTTGTGAAATGATCGAACCATTTTGGAGAGAAATTTGGAACTGTGCCCAAAGGGCTATAAAAATGTGTATACCATTTGATCCAGCAATAGCACTTCTAGGGCTACATCCCAAAGAAATCATACAAATAGGAAAAGGACCCTCATGTACAAAAATATTTATAGCCACTCTTTTTGGCAAAGAATTGGAAATTGAGAGGATGCCCATCAATTAGGGAATGGCTAAACAAGTTGTGAAATATGAATGTAATAGAATACTATTGTGCTATAAGAAATGATGAACAGGCTGACTTTAGAAAAACCTGGAAAGACTTGTATGGTCTGATGCTGAGTGAAGTGAGCAGAACCAAGAGAATGTTGTACACAATAACAGCCATGTTGTGTGATGACTAATACTAATAACCTTAAGCCTTTCCAGCAATACAAGGATCTAAAACATTTCCAGAGACCTCGTGATGGAAAATGCTATCCACATCTAATGAAAGAACTATGGAATTTGAATGCAGATCGAAGCATACTATTTGCTATTTTTTTTCTCTTCTGTTGAGTTTTGTTTCCTGTTTCTAGTGGTTCTTCCTATTGGTTCTCATTCTTACTTACACCATCACTAATGTGAAAATATGTTTAATAAGAGTTTATATGTATAGCCTATATCAGATTGTGTGCTATCTTGGGGAGGGTGGTGGGGAGGAAGGGAGAGAAAAAGTTTAAACTCAAAAGCATATGGAAATGATTGTTGATAATTCAAAATAAATTAAGAAAAAAAGAAAAAGAAAAAACAAAAAAGAAATACATTTTTTCTGGACTATGAGAAGAAAAACTTAAGACTATCAAAGAATCAACAAAAAATGTGAAAGAAGGTGACCTAGTGGTACCAGATCTCAAACTATATTATAAAGTAATAATCATTAATTTAGTTTGGCAATCTATAAGAAATAGAGTGATTGATCAATGGAATAAATTAGTTACATAATATACAGAAGAAAATGATTTTGTTTCATAGACCCAATGTTCCCAGCTTGGTGGTAAACACTTTTTTTTTCCATGAAAATTGTTGAGAAAACTAGAAAGTTTTCTGGTGGAAACTAGATATAGAGCATTGTATGCCAAGATAAACTCAAAATGAGTAAGTAGTTTGAACATAAATGGTGATATAATTTAAAAAAATAGGGGAGTATAAAAGAAATTGCCTGTCAGATCTGTGGATAGGTGGAGAGATTCACAGGAAGTAAAATGCATAAATGTGATTAATTCATTCAATAAACATTCATTAAGTGTCTACTATGTGGCAGGCACTTTGTCAAGCATTGAGGATACAAGAAAAACAAATCAAAAGACAGTCCCTTCCTTGAAGGAGCTTACAATTTAATGGGAGAGACAACATGCAAAAAAACATATACAAAGCAAGCTACATATGTGATCAATAGGAAAAAAAATAAAAGAGAGAAAACACTGGAATTAAAAAGAGTTAGAGATTTTAGTTGGGTCTTAAAGGAAGTTACAGAGGTCAGTAGTCAGAGCAAAAGAAGGATTGTGTTACAGGAATAGGGTGCAGCCAGAGAAAGAGCCAAGAGATAGAGTTTTCATTTGTGGAACACTCAGGCCAGTTTCATAAGACAGAAGAGTACATGTTATGTGTAGGAAGACTAGGAAGTTAAGAGGAGGATAGGCTCTGAAGGGTTATGAATGTCAAACAGAGCATTTTGTATTTGCTTCTAGAGGCAACAGGAAGTCACTTGAGTGGGTGGCAGAGTTGGAAGGTGGGAATGGTCAGGGAGGGAGGAGGTTAATGTGATCAGATCTGCATTTTGGAAAAATCACTTGGAAGTCTGAATGGAGAATGGACTGGAGTAGGGAGAAACTTGAGGCAGATAGATTCACCAGCAAGCTATTGTATTTATCAAGACCTGTGGTGACTACTCTACATTAGTGTGGTGGCAATTTCAGAGGAGAGAAGAGAGTGCATTTGAGAGATGTTGCAAAAGTGAAATCATCAGGCTTTGACAACAACTTGGCAACAACTATGTTGAGAGCCTGAGGGATTGGCAAGATTATATTACCCTCAATAGTAATAAGGAAAGGTAGGAGTGGAAAGGGTTTAGGGGAAAAGATAATGAGTTCCATTTTGGACATATTGAGTTTATTTTGTCTACTGAATATCCAGTTCAAGATGTCTAAAAGTGGTCTCCTGGTTCCATGTCATCCTACCTGCCTACCCGCCCTCCAGTCCTTTACCTGCTACCCAGCCGCGTGCCCTTGCCTCTCTCCCCTTGCCCCTTCTCCTTCTGGCCTACCGACCCCACGCAGACATGTCCCAGAGCCCCGAATACACGTCCTTCTTTGCCATCATGGGCACCTTGGCTGCCATGGTCTTCAGCCATGAAATTCATGTTTTTTTGCATGTTGTCTCTCCCATTAAATTGTAAGCTCCTTCAAGGAAGGGACTGTCTTTTGATTTGTTTTTCTTGTATCCTCAATGCTTGACAAAGTGCCTGCCACATAGTAGACACTTAATGAATGTTTATTGAATGAATTAATCACATTTATGCATTTTACTTCCTGTGAATCTCTCCACCTATCCACACTTTATGGCACAGCAAAAAGTGGCACTGGTATTGCAGCCATGTCAGTTATACGACCTGAACTGATCGTGAAGTCAGTCATTCCTGTCTTCATGGATGGTATCATTGCTATATATGCTTTGGTGGTGGCTGTTCTCATTGCCAACTCTCTGCCACCAGAAATGACCCTGTTTAAGAGCTTCCTTCAGCTGGGAGCAGGCCTCAGCACGGTCCTGAGTGGGCTGGCAGCTGGCTTTGCCATTGTCATTGTAGGTGATGCTGGTGTTCGGGGGACAGCACAGCTTCCCCTACTGTTCGTAGGGATGATCCTGATTCTGATCTTTGCTGAGGTGCTTGGGCTGTATGGCCTGATTGTGGCCCTCATTCTCTCTACAAAGTAGACCCTGTTTTTCCATTCTTCCCAGTGCCCCACCTTCTCCCCCCAACTCACCCCTTCAGCCACAGAGTATGATATAAAGACCTGTCCTGAATCACCCCATCCCTCCCAATTCGCTCCAGAATGAATGTCCTGACATCTGGTGCAGTTGTCCAGTTGGTAGTTGGTCTTGTAAATGCTCAATGTCTTAGTGACTCTTCTGTCTGTGTCACACCACACCAGATTGGATGGTGCCTGAACTGGACCCGGCTGGAGCTGAGGCCCCCTAGGACCAGCCAGGCAGCTGTGCAATCTCCCTACCCATTTGCCATTAGTATTATGTGTATAAAGATGAATTAGAATTGTCATTTTTCTCTTCACTGTATGTTTATTTACAAAGATTTGACATGTTCATAACATTTATGGAGCAAGAATTTTCAATTTTCCATGCTATATATTAATCTTAAATACAGGTAAATTATTGCACTGTGGGGTTAAGTGTCAAGTGCTGAGAATTCCTTAGATGTGATAATTTGAAATTCAAGATTGCTGTAGTGTCCTGGTATTAGTAAGAATTGTATGATTTGGGAACATGTGGAACATGTGTTTCTAGTGGTGTTGTGTAGCATGGGGCTAGGGCTCACAGTGATGTTTCCAAATAAAATTATGACTGGAAAAAAAAAGATGTCTAAAAGACAGTTGGAGATGAGATATTGGAGGTCAGGAAAGAGATCGTGGCAGGAAAGGTAGATTTCAGAATCATGAGCATAAATATAGTAAGTAAATCCATGGAAGCTGATGAGGCCACCAGGTGATGCATGAAGGGAGAAGAGGACCCAGGGCAGAAACCTGAGGAAGATTTACAATTACAGGACATGATCTGGATAAGGATCCAGCAAAGGAAAAACAGAAGATAGGTAAGAAGAAAACCAACAACATAGAGAGAAGAGAGTTATCAAGGAGGAGAAAGTTATCAATAGTGCCAAAGACTTCAGAAAGGTAAAGGAGAATAAGAATTGAGGAAAACCCATTGGGTTTGGCAACCAGGATATCATTAATAACTTTGGAGAGAGCAGTTTCAGTGAAATGACAGTTTAAGAAGTAAAATTGCTAGGGGTGAAGGGAATGAGAAGAGAAGAAATGGATTTATCTATTGTAGATGGCATTTTCAAAGAGTTAAGCTACAAAAGGTAAAAGAGAAATAGGATGAATTCAAGAATGGAAAGATCAAGTGAGGGTTTTTTTTTTCAAGATAGGGGAGAGATGGGAATGTTTGTAGGAAGTAGGGTACCCTGAACACTCTTCTGTCTCCATCAGGGTTCATGATGCCTCAGTGTTCCCAACACCAATCCATGGTTATGAAGTAACTCTCCAAGTCTCTCTCCCTCCCCATTCTTTTCCCCTCACTATCTGCCTCCCTCCACCATCCTATCCCTGTCTGACTCTGTGCAACTCTCCCCTCCACCCTGTGCCATTTGTCTCTGTATTCACTCCCCACTGCCATCATGGTCTTTCTCATTGAGTATCCAAAGAACCTAGTGTGCCTGTCTTAAATAAACGCAGGGGTAACCTGCTATGGTCTCATTCATAATTCAATTCCATTAGTTAATTAACAATTCAATCATGAAACTGAGGAAAATGTTTAAGCCAAATTTCTCTGATAAAGGTCTCATTTCTCAAATATATAGAGAACTGAGCCACACACACACACACACACACACATATATGTATATATTAAGGAAAAGAGCTCTATTCCAATTCACAAATGGTCACAGGATATGAACAGGCAATTTTCAGAGGAAGAAACAAAGGCTATCAATGTATATAAAATGCTCTAATTCACTAATAATTAAAGAATTGTATATTAAAACAACTTTGAAATATCACATCACACCTATCAGACTAGGTTCCATGATTGATTTGGAAAATCACAGCATGGGAAAATAGGTACACTAATGCACTGATGTTGGAGCTGTGAATTTGTCTAACCATTTTAAAGAACAATTTGGAATTATGCCCAAAGGAGTATTAAACTATCCATACCTTTTGGCTCAGCAATCCTGTTACTAGGTCCATACCCGAAAGAGACCAAAGAAAAAAGAAAATAACACATATAGATATAAATATGTATAGCAGCTCTTTGTGTTGGGAAAGAGCTGGAAAGTGAGGGGATGCTCAGTGGGGAACAGTTGAACAAGTTATGGCATAGTAATGTAATGGAATACTCTTGGGTTGTAAGAAATGATGAATGGAATGGTTTCAGAAATATCTGGAAGAATTACATGGACCAATACAAAGGGAACCAGGTAGACAACTACATAGTAATAGCAATATTATAAAGATAACCAACTGAAAGACTAGTAAGTTATCAAAACAATGATGCAACACAAATGACTCATAATGTAAAATATTATCCACCTCCAGACAGAAATCTGAAGGGCTCAGAGTGCTAATTGAAGCATTTTTTTTCTTTTTTTAAAAATTTTCTTTGCTTTTGTTATGGGAGAGGGGAACATGGGTAATACAAAAATATGTTTTATATGATTTCACATGTAGGACAGGTATCATATTTCTTGACTTCTCAATGGGTGTGGGAAGGGCTGGAGGATGGAAGGGAAATGGGAAATGAAAAAAAAATAGTTTTTTTTAAAAAGGTACTTAAAGAGGATACAGAGCTGATGCCCTCATTAGATAAATTTCCACTTGACGAGCTCAAGATAACAAATACCATTTACCACAGAAACCAGGGTGAGTCTTACCACTTGAAGTAGAACTTTTGGAATCTTCATGATCCACCTATTTTTAGTAATTAAATAGGATAAATAACTTTACTTGATCTGAGACAAAACAAAATAATAAATTAGGTGTGAAAGGGCTGAGCTAAACAGCAATTGCTCAATGAAACTGAGATATTCACAGGTTTACCACATTAGCATTCTGCCTACAATTAATGTCTTTTAAGGAAATCACATTATTCCAGAAGTTGATCATCTTATCTTGGTCACATTATATCTTCTCTGTGATTGCTACCAATATTCCAAAGGTTGACCTGAAGTAGTTCTGTGGAGATCTACTAGGGCCAACCAAAAGTTAGGAAATAGAATAACCACGACATAACTGTGATGCAACTGTTGATTATTGTAAGAAAACTTGGAACCATAACAGGAAAAGGTACAGTATAGAATGCAGAAGGAAATAGTAAGCAACTGTCAGAGACACTAAAAGGTATTCCAGAATTGAGGAAAGTGGATGAGACATGAGCAAGACAAATTAGGTAAAACATTATGTTTATTATAAGAATCAACATGTTACAAAGGTGGAAGAATGTTAAAATCAGGAAGTGCCAAAGATGAGGTTACTGAACGATCAGAATTATCAGCAGGTCAACATTAGTGTTTAAAAGCATAGTGAGACTGATGGGTCAGTGAAATTGCTTGAATAAAAATGAGTTGTGGACTTCTGTCTATGTATGTTTAGAATTTAAAAACCCTTTCACTTAGGCAACAGTGTATAATCAAATATAATTTTATGCAACAAATGTAAGAAGTAGACAGACCAGGAGCGATAACTGGGTCCTCACTTTCCAAGATGTGTGACCTTAAGTGAATTCCTTAATTTCTCATTTCACTTCTCTAAAATGACGGTTTATATCAGGGATTATCTAAATTCCTTCCTGTTGTAATAGTTCACTATTTTTTTTAATATGAAAACAGTTTACAAACTTGGTTTAGTGGCCAGGAATTAAATTCTATATTGAAAGGACTACACAACATGTAACAAACCACTTTCCATAACCAACTGACACATTATTCAGGGGGAATAGACTAAGAAATCTGGTCCATAAATCATGTGATTTTTCAGAATTATTTCAATGCAAGAATTCTTTGATTATACAGCTTTCTCAAAATAGGTGGTAGTGCTCTATCTGAAGATTTTGTTGAAGCTACCAGAAAGTTGGTTCAGTTATTTGTGACAGATTGCTAGATTTAGGCTCATTAAAGTTAAATTTGTTGTCATCATTTCATCCTTCATTCCTGTCCAATCTTGTTACCCTCCAAATTTCTTCTGCTATGCCAAAGGAACTTTTTCACCCAGCAAATATATCTGAACTTCTCACCTTGGAAGAACCCATTACCCATCCAGCCTCTTCCTTTGTTTTACTGCTTCTTCCTAGCACTACCATTATCAGTCAGTCAGACCAAGGCCAGTCATGTCACCATTCCTCTCTAGCTTAACTCTGCATTCTCTTCACTTCCTTTCTGATGCCAAAGACCTCTTCACCAAGGAAACGTATCAAACCTGAATTTATCAAAATGGAAATATCCTCTACCTTTTGGTCTCCTCCTCTGATTAAGTGGTTCCTCCTAGTATCTCCACGCTGAGGAGAACATCTAAGGCAACCATATCTGTATTTCCCTCTAGGCTGTACTCTCGATTATCTGGACTTTCTCTAACATGCCCCTATGAATGCACCCCATCCCTTTCTCTCCCTTTATTTTATGTATCTTCTCATGCTGGAATGTGAGCTCCTTAAGGTCAGAGACTGTCTTTTTTTTCTACTCATATTTGTATTCTCTGAATTTAGCACTGTGCCTGAACCATAGGAAGCATTTAAGAAATGATTGTTGACTTAACTATAACTGCTCCAGCTTCACAACTCAAATTTCCACAACTGGACCGAAGATTTTTTTTTTTTAAATCAGTGTCTATTTTCTCTTTTTCATATAAACAAGTAAAAATGACATACATTGGTCCAAATTTTACCACATATGATCATAGATTTAGAGTTTGAAGGGACAAAGAAACCATCTAGTCTATCCCCACACCCTACTTTTTTTTTTTAACAGTAAAGGAAACAGAACCAGAGACGTTAAGTGACATACAGATTTTGAACCTAGGTCCTCTTGCTTCAGAGTTCATGGGGCTTCTTCCATAGCATACTATCTCATCTCAAAAAGTTTAGGAAGTTTATATTATGATAAAAAAATCTAGCATTTTCATAACCCATAGGGGTCAAATTAATAA